CATTCTGACTCTCTGATTTCAGACTTCCAGTCCCCAGAACCATGAGAAATAAATGTTTGTTGACACCACTCTGTCTATAATAATTTGTTATAGGAGCCCAAACCATCTAAGATGAGAAGGATTGGGGAAAAGTCATAGACTGTCTGAAGCTGCCTCAGTGACGGTGTGCAGGCAAGGTTAAGAACCACTGAGCAAAGGCTTGGAGGAACAAATTCACATTTCTGCACAGGGATGCAGAGGTAAACAGTTCAAGGTGGCCAGAATATGGGCTGCATGAAGCTGAGGGACAAGAAATGAGGGGCAGGAAGGCGTGCTGGGCCATTTCCTCAGGACCGTGGGAGAATTCCGATGAGCAAATGAAACAAGCAAAGGATCATGATCTTTAAATTGCATACTATGCGTCCCCAATACCATGTTTACATTTGAACAGGACTTACTATTGCCTCAAGAAGGGAGTGACTGACAGGTTCAATATCACCTGTAGTGAAATTATCTCCATGTTTCTGAGGTACTTGATTCATCTTTGGACACTGAGCCTGGAAAACAGCAGACACTCAGGGAGTGTTCACTGAATGGAACAAATAGCCCTTCGGTGAAATCACGTGCTTCCATGGGAGTGGCTAGTCTGGACTGCATTTGGGTTCAAGGGGCTTTGCTGTAGCTCAGTTTTCTGATGCATTTTTCAGTTTAGCCAATGTATTTCTCAATTCCAGGATTTTCATTTAATTTTTAAAAATAATTATTTCTCTTTGGTAAATTTCTCTGATAAATTTCTGAATTGCTTTTCTGTGTTGTCTTGGAGCTCACTGAGTTTCCTCAAGACTACTATTCTGAATTCTTGAACTGAGATCTCTTGTATTGCCACCTTGTTGGGGTTGGTCACCGGGCTAATGTGGTTTGAGGGATGCCAAGAAATTCCATAAAAACCCCAGTGTCTGTGTCTGTGGCCTGGAGTCCCACTATTGCCGCACCATGATTTGCATTTGTTCTTGCTCTTACCTTGTCGATTCCATTGGCAGAAGGAGATTTTCAAGAGTTGAAGGGGCAGAAAGCCTAATGGTTGCAATGAAGAGGGGAAAGATCCAGAAAGAGAGAACTAAGACTCCCGTAACAGATAGCTCTACTGACCAGAACCTAAGACAGAATAAGAAAGCCTTGAAAGACAGGTGCTTCCTCTTTTCAAACTAGAACCTCCTGGCATTTTTTCCCTTTATTCTTGCCATTTTTATGTTATACCCTTAATAAAGATCATTATTTACCCAAGAACAGACTAATTTTGCTAATCATACGACAGAGATTGATTCTTGGAAGATTCTGTCAAAGAAGTAAGATCTAGTTATAAAATATTTCCAATAACCAATAAGAGAGATAGTAAAAGACTTGGGCTACTCCATGCATGTAGTTCACACATTGACTTGCTCACATCCTCTCCCAGGTCTAGGGACCCAGGAGTGACTCTGAGACCGGAATTTGAGTGCAAGTAGTTCTTTCAGGAAGCCTCCGTAGACCCGTGGAGAAGTGAGACAGAGAGATGGAGGAGAGCAATACAGGATGTGATGATGAGGAACCGAGGCTTGAGTCCACAGGGAAACTTGAAGAGACAGAATTGAACATGCCTCAGAGATATTCTATGGGAGGGGCAAGGAAACTGGGCATCATATATCCACCAGCTCCCATTAGTCATCGATTCAAGACTGCTCCCAGAAGCATTAGCTCCGTCGCACTTCTAGCCGGCCCTACACAGGTTCGTGTTTTCATGACCAGAGAATGTCCACAGGCTAAGGAAGTTGGAGTGCTAACCATATGGGTGGGGCACCTATCACATCTGCTACACATGCCATCCCATCCATGAACAGCTCAGGAGTGTGTCCACCTAACAGGCACTAATCCTTTCAAGTACTAGCCCATTCACTTAGTCATCAACACGTCACATGCCTGCTCATTCCGTAGGCACCATTCATGTTCCAGTAAGTGAAAAAAGTGGTCTACACAGAATCTGGCAACCAGGGAACATCCCAGTGGCATCAGTGTCCTTTAAATGACTTTCTCTGGTAGTATGTTTTGATTCCTTGCCTTTTATTTCTAGTGTAGCTGTTATAGGTTTTTGCTTTGTGATTACCATGAGGCTTCCAAAAACTCTTATGGTTATAACAAGTTATTTTAAATAGATGACAACTTAATTTTAATCACAAAGAAAAGAAACAAACAAGAAAAAGGTTTTTTTTTAAATCTCTACACTTTATTTAATTCCCCCACATTTTGACTTTTTGTTGTTTCAGTTTCCATCTATATTGCCCATTTCTTAACAAGTTGTTGTAGTTATTATTATTATTATTGATATAGTTGTCTCTTCATCTTCATACTTCATAGAGATGTGAGTGGTTTATACACTACCATTAGAGCATTAGAGTATTCTGAATTTGTCTGTACTTATTTTTACCAGTGAGTTTTATACCTGCAGATGATTTTCTCATTGCACATCAGTGTTCTTTTGTTCCAGATGGAAGAACTCTCTTTAGCATTTCTTGTAAGACAGGTCTGATGGTGATGAATTTCAGTTTTTATTTGTCTGGGAAAGTCTTTCTCCTTCATGTTTGGAGGATAGCTTTGCTGGATACAGCATTCTCAGTTGGCAGTTTTTTCTTCTTCTTCAGTGCTTTGACTATGTCATCCCATTCCCTCCTGTATGGCTTCAGCTTAGAAGTCTGCTGCCAGAGGAATCAAAGCTCCTTTACATGTTATTTGATTCTTTTCTTTTGCTACTTTTAGGTTCCTCTTTTTTGTCTTTGGCTTTTGAGAGTTTGATTATTATATGCCTTGTGGTAGTCTTATTTGAGCTGAATCCTTTGGGTGATCTTTGGCTTTCCTGTGCCTGGGTGTGTATATCTTTCTCTAGGCTTGGAAAGTTTTTTGGTTTTATTTTCTTGAATAAACTTTCTACTTTTACTCTTTCTCAACTCCCTCTTGAAGGCCAATGACTGTCAGATTTTCTCTTTGGGAGTTATTTGCTAGATTTTATAGGCATTCTTAGTTCCTTTTCATTCTGTTTCCTTTTTTCTCCTCTGACTGTGTATTTTCAAATAGCCTGTCTTTAACCTCGCTAATTCTTTTTTTTTTTTTTTTTTTTTTTTTGCTTGATGCATTGTTTTTGAAACTTGGGTGCATTTTTTAGTTTAGCCAATGTGTTTCTCAGTTTCAGGATTTCTGTTTGATTTTTTTAAAATAATCATTTCTCTTTGGTAAATTTCTCTAAATTTCTGAATTGCTTTTCTGTGTTATCTTAATATCCTCTGACTTTTCTTAAGACTACTATTTTGAATTCTTGATCTGAGATCTCACATATTGCCTTCTTAATGGGCTTGGTCACTGGCTCCTTTTTTGTCCATTTGTCCATTTGTCATGATTCCTAGTGTGTACTGTTGTTTCTTATCAATGAACATTTATGTCTTCGTATTAGAAGATTATTTATTCCAGTCTTTGTTGTCTGGGTTGGTTTGGACACTAGCATACCTGTGTTGAGAAGTTCTGTGCAGTTGGTCCACGGGTTCCTTTAGTCCTAGGTCACTGCCTACTTTTTGGCACCAGATGGCGCCCTAAGCCCAGGTTTGCTGCAGCTCTCAAAGAGCTGCCTGTCCCGGATGGGGGATATTCCAAAGGGGATTCCCCAGCCATGTGGGGAGGCTGGCTAGGGGTTCATGCCCAGAGAGGGCCTCTCACAACAGGATGCTGCTGAACCACCTCTCTGAGTCAGCATCTTCTTTGCCTGAGATGGAGAGCAGCCCCTGAGCTCTGCGTGCTAGGGCTACTAGCTCCACCCCACTATCTGCCTCCTGTTGCTTTTAAGAGTCCCTTTGCCCTCCTCTGGGTTGAGACAGAAACAGCTTTCTTGTTTAGATACCCAAGATGATGAGGAAGCTGTCTGTCTGCCTTGATCTCGCTCTTTCCAGTGCAGAAATTGTGAGTCCTGGGGACTTTTCCACATGGTGCGTTTCAGCCTGGGGGAGGAGCATTGCAGATAAAGTTCATTTCTCCTGCCTTCCACTCACAGTCTTTCACTTTGCTGCAGACCCAGGTTGCTGCGGACCCAGGTTGCTGCGGTCCCAGGGTTCACCACAGCCTCAGTTTTGAGCTCTGGGATATTGGTGGTTATAATCTTGGTACTAGATGGTTGTTTTGGTTTTCTGTAGAGGAGAGTGAAGCCAGGATGCTTCTATTTGACCATTTTATGACATCTGGCATTAGTGTATTTTACACAGGCTGGGATCAGGCCTGTGTACATTTTTCTTACATGCATTCATGCAATCTTTCAAGAAAAGAGGATGCTCAGACTTGCTCTTTTTCAGCAAAGATAACAGGCAGCAACTCAGGAAGATTTTAACCTAGCTAAAAGTAAAAATTCCAAGAATAAAGGTATTTTTTCTTGTATTGTGAGAAAACTAGTGGCATCCATAAGGTTGTTTCATTTACGTGAGGTGGTGCTTTTAAAAAACGAGGACAGAGAAAATGACGGATGGTACTGGGAAACTATGGGGGGGAGGGGGATGGGATTAACAGTAGCAAATATCTGTCGGGGGATGGGAAAACACTTCTT